TTGTGATAAATGTGTGATTGTCTAATCCTAACCTATCGAAACCATCCGAAATCGTTGTGATAATGTCTAACCTAACCCATTGAAACCATGATCAAGTCGAGTGATATTGATATCCCATGATTATCACACCCATATCACATGATTATCACACCCATATTACACAAAATCGTTTTCGTTGTGATAAATATGTGATTATCTAATCCTAACCTATTGAAACCATCCAAAATCGTTGTGATAATGTCTAACCTAACCCATTGAAACCATAATCAAGTCGAGTGATATTGATATCACATGATTATCACACTCATATCACACAAAATCGTTTGATTGATTTCGTCATTAATTCGTGTGATAAACTAATTAGATAAGACGTTATGACTTCTTTGTTGGTCTCCTTGAATTCTTAACCGATATATTAGATAAGGATAATCAATATTAATCATGTGATCGTGTTAACAGATTTTATGATATCATTTCCATTATTACTCTTTTAATTTAATTTTATTTTTAATCTTTTTAAATTTCAATTTTAATTTTAAAAATCTTTTAATTTTATTTTTTTTATCACAATATGAGGTAAATAGGTTGTTCTCGCGTTCTCGTAAATCACAATCCCTATATATATATAACATATATGAAAATATATTTAGGGTTTGAGAATTATGATGAACAAGACTAAATAGTGAAAATTATATAAGATGAATGTTATGACAGAAAGTTTTTCACAATGAAAATACATGATATTAATATATGATATAAACGATATAGATGCATAAGGTCAGGTTCTAAGGGAAAAAAAATGAAAAACTGAAAACACCCTAGTAATCGTTCATCCGGTAATTTTAAACAATTTGTTGGCATGCACACGTGCATAAAAACCAAGAAACAACTTCAGTTACCAATATGCACGGGTGCATATTCATTTATTGAGGTTTTCCCATGAACCTCGTCTAGATGCATAATATTATCAATAAAAATAAATTAAATCATATATAATGAAAGTGCATGATACTCATGAGATATTTATCATTATTCAGTGGTATTCATCATGAATAGTTGGTTTCCTTGTTATCAATGAATTTGTTATATTTTACTGTTTATTGATTTAAAGAGGGAGATATTTTTATTTTTTCGAGGGGTGGTTATAACCACGTATCATCTCATTCAACCATTTAAATGGGTTATTCGGTTCTTTTCTTTTAATAGATTAATACCTTCGGATCTTTTCTATATATATAGCCTCAGGTTTATTTGAGAACGATAAAAATTTTGAGAACCGTGTGAGAACCGAGAGATCATATATATTCATTATTACATAATATCAATATATGTATTTTAACAATAAGTATATTCATAAATACATATCTACTATTTATAGAAGTATATATTCATAGATGCATATACTTACTAAAGTTCAATTCATTAGTGTATATGAATCAATGAACATACAGGTTCTTATGATTCTCAAATTTTTATGGTTCTCATTAGTGTATATGCACCAATTAGTATATAGAGGCTGTCAAATAAGAACCACAAAAATGTCGAAAACCACCGATCATGTGTTGTTTCATATTGTGAAACAATGCATGTGAATATACAATGTTGTTTTACAAAAAATAAACCATGGATAGACATTACATGTAATCACAATGTGAAAACAACATGGTATTTTCGCATGTCATCGTTTCACAATTCAAGACAACACATGAAAGAAACTATGGATAGACATTATGTATGCTGAGGAAACAAAATCGATAAAGAAAACCCTACGCCTCACGTACCTAAGAGGAAAACGCCTCGAGGCTCGTTTCCGTTCTTTAAAACCTTGTATAGAATTAACTTATTTGAGCTTGTAGGGCATTGCATGAGGAAGAGAAGAGGCTAAAGGGGGGTTTGTCAAGGCTGCAGTTCTTCATGATTGTTCTTATATCTAGCTTTTCCTACTACATAGTTCCTAACTATCTATTTCAATCCATCACGGCCCTCTCCTTCGTTTGTTGGATTTGGAAGGATTCCTTCAAAGCTCAACAAATCGGTTCCGGTCTTAAAGGTTTCGGTATTGGATCTTTCGGCCTCGATTGGGCAACCGTTGCTTCTTTCCTTGGAAGCCCATTAGCCACCCCTGGATTCGCTATGATGAATATGTTGGTTGGTTACATCATAATCTTCTACATGGTCATTCCCTTGTCTTACTGGAACAACTGGTACCAGGCTCGAAGATTCCCGATGTACTCTTTCAAGACATACAATGCCGATGGAACGATATACAACGTCTCTAAAGTATTGAACCAATCTTCATTCTCCTTCAATCAAGCAGGATATGATGATTATGGAAAAGTTAACCTTAGCATCTTGTTTGTACTTGCCTATGGTCTAAGCTTTGCAACCTTGGCTGCCACAATCTCTCATGTCCTTCTCTTCCATGGGAGGTACTAAATCTTAGGATTATTGTTGAGGATTCGCAGGAAGTCGATGCGCATTTGTTCTTATTCTTGTTCTGTATGTTAACAGGACAATTTGGGAACAAACGAAGGCATCAATGAGTAACAAATTCGGGGATGTACATACAAGATTGATGAAGAAAAACTACGATCCAGTCCCACAATGGTGGTTTCATTCTCTTCTAATAGTAGTAATAGGACTTGCTTTGCTTACTTGTGAAGGATTTGGGAGGCAGTTGCAGCTTCCTTACTGGGGCATTATCTTAGCAATCTGTTTGGCTTCGGTCTTCACCTTGCCCGTCGGTGTTATCGTAGCAACCACAAACCAGGTGACTATCCACTCTCTGCATTTCATAAAACCCCAGGTCTTCTAGCTAATAAGTTATTAACTGGACCATATCTTTATACAGCCAATAACCATGGGTCATATTTTAAAGTGTTATAATAACTTGTTAGAACAAAGATCGCCGACCTACCAAGTTCTATTGATATTTTGTGTCCTATTAGGTTGCCCAACTTCTTTGATAGAACTTGTTAAGTTGCCTAACTTTGTCGTAGTAATTTAATGTAACACGTTTAGATACAACACACGGTTCTTGGTCCTATAAACTAAGTCCCATTAGGTACTTATTAGGACGCTCTAGGGGTCCTAAAGACCCATTTTTGTTGTAGGGTTGGCTTGTGTTTAACTCTAGATATATAGTGATTAATGAAGTGTTCGATCTTTCCAGGGAGTAGGGTTAAATGTTATCACAGAGTTGATCATAGGGTATATGTACCCAGGGAGACCACTAGCCAATGTGGTCTTCAAAACCTATGGTGACAACAGCATGCGGCAAGCCATACAGTTTCTCGGTGATTTTAAGCTAGGCCATTATATGAAAATACCACCAAAGTCCATGTTCATTGTTCAGGTATATATATATACGTGTATATATTTCAAAGCAGTTCCTTTTTCTATTTACACGTTTCTTACTAGCCCGGAGACTTCACCGGAACAGCCACTCTACTCTCTAGGGTAGAAGTCAGGTCTCCGGACCCACTTCCAGGTGGAATATACATAGCCCATTTAGTTTGTTGGTGTATTACAAAGCAATTTTAATCACTCATACTCGACTTTGATCATGTTTACCTAAAAGTTAGCAGGGACGTTCATCGCATCCTCTGTCTACTTTGCTACGTCTTGGTGGCTCCTCACAACAGTGGAATTCATTTGTGACCCCAGTAAATTACCAACTGGCAGCCCATGGACGTGCCCAGGAGATGATGTTTTCTACAATGCCTCGATTATATGGGGATTGGTGGGACCTCAACGCATGTTTGGGAATCTTGGGTTGTACTCCAAGATGAACTACTTCTTTCTGTTTGGAATTCTTGCACCTGTGCCATTTTGGTTCCTTTCTCGCAAGTTTCCAGAGTGGAAATGGGTAAGGTTGGTAAACATACCTATCCTTATAAACTGCCCAGGACCACCGATTAAGCCAGTAAACTATAATATGTGGTTTGCTGTGGGAATGTTTTTCAACTTTGTTGTTTATAAGAGGTTCAAGAGTTGGTGGGCAAGGCATAACTATATATTATCAGCCGGGCTTGATGCTGGTGTTGCATTCATGGCTATCCTTTGCTATTTGGTGTTACAAAATAGAAACATCAATGGACCAGAGTGGTGGGGTTTAGAGGTGGATGACCACTGTCCATTAGCCAATTGTCCTTCTGTCCCTGGAATCCTGGTAGAAGGTTGTCCTATAGTCCAATGAAGCCTATAAGCAGAGCAAATTCCCAATCTTCCTTCTCTTTTGTTTTTCGCTCTCTGCAAAAGTAGCACCTATATAATTCTATACACTAGGCTAGTTTATACAACTAAGAACCAAGATTCTAGTCGTCGTTGTAACGCAAAGGAAGAGTTCTGTTACATGTAATTTTTATGAAATTTATCAGGAATTATCACCTATGCTTTGATCTGGAATAGCAACAAAGATGTGTCTGTGTATGTAAGAACAACTCCTGTAGAAAATATACAACGATTCAAGAGAATTTGATGAAATAATAGTAGCCTAAGAGAGGTTATTTAAAGAAACAAGAGCAAACTCATGTCCTCTAAAGCTTAATATGCAAGTTTCGAGTTGTGTTTCTGCTGATATGACCACAAACACATAAAGATTCTGACCATGAAAAGAGACTAAATTTTTTTTGTTAGATCCTGGGATTGTTTGAGCATGGCCATAGCATAACTTATTTCTAAAAGATAATGGCTAAGGATGTATGATCCATTTGAACTTGATTTAACCAAACACCCAAAGACTCGTCTGAATGCTGAAAGGAAGTCAAGTTCAAGTGAAATATTAACATCAACTTCATGAATTCCATCTGCATACGTGGGAATTGAAGCTTTGGTGCTAATGGAGTTCTCACAAATGAGAAACACTGAATCAAATTTTAATGGAATAGACAAGTTATACCAAGAACACAAGAAAACGAACTACTAGAAAGAAGACAAGCTATTATCATGTGCTTACTTTCCTGGATAGATCAAGCAAGCAAAATATTAAGAACACGACGCAAAAATCAATAGGTGAATAGCAAAAAAGGAAGGCGATAGGGAGTAGGAAGATGCGTCGCTCTTGTGACCTTGAGTGACATTGCCACTGCCAGTTCTTGAAGTGGGCATACCACTGGGGATTTTGCTTCCGCTTCCACCACCACCACCAACACCACCTGCAACTCCGTGGTGACCAATTTCACCACCTAGGGCAACAAATATATTTAGAAGCAGAGCAATGATGAGGATTGGAAGAAGGCGAGTCATACCTGAGGCTGAATTGAAAGTGAAATTAGGGATTCGAGTGTGGATATGATAGGAAGATGAGAGATTGGATTATCTGAAACTGACGAGAACCAGAGAGATTCTTGTTGCAAGTTACACACGTCACAATATCCACATGATTGTTAGAGCCAGGGGCTTAAACGAGTCCACGTTTTATCAACTAACTACTCAACTCAGGTTAAGGACTTGTTTAGTCCGAGCACGAGCTTAATAGCTAGGGATGGTAAAAAAATCGAAACCGATGGGTTTTGGGTTGGATTCGGAGTCATCTTATTGGAGACAGGCCCGGGATCGGGAACTTTAACGGGGACGGGGCCGGGGCTGGGGATGGTGATCATTGGCCCCGCCCGGCTCGATATGTATGTATATATATATATATATATATATATATATATATATATATACTAGTTATGTACCCGCGCAATGCGGCGGAAGCTATGAATTTTAACGATTTTGAAGTTCCACTGGTTTTATAAGGTAAAATTTGACGATGATATATGTTACACTTGGTCTTTACATATTAATACAATATGAATAAATAAGAGTTATGGTTCCAATTACAGACTATCGATGAAAAAAATTGTATGACAGTTTAAAATCCAACATATTTAAACGACTTCACAAATGTGTTCGATTTACACCAAGAGCAAAGAACCAAGAAACTTGAGTTTTAAGATAAACACTCAAAACCAATAAAGAAAACTACAAATTTGACAGATCATAAGCCATGAAAAGACAAAAAAGATGGGTTTTAGAATAAAATTTCAACTGCTTACCCTTTTTCTTGTCCAGAAACTCAGATTAAGGTTGAATTAATACATGTATATATATATTTTAAAAAAACCGAAGAACATATTAATTCAGAATATATTATACAGTGCAATTTGGGCAGCCTAACCCCAAAATATATAGTATATATATAAATAAATAACTATAAAAGTATAAATCGTAAATATTAAAAATATTTTTTCACAGTATGTATAATATATAATAATATAATTAAGTAAAAAACTATTCAATATTGGATTCATTTCGAAGGTATTAACGAGACGATTATAATGGTGTAACTTGTTAAAATAAAAATGTATTTTTTAAACATGTTTTAATTGATATACGATTATGTATGTTAATTTGATAAATGTTTAAAATGAAACATTTAAAGTAAAAGACATAAAGTAAATTAATTAACTAATTATAAGGGTATAAAGTGTAAATTTATAATTATAATTTAAAAAAAAAATCGGTTAGTGCATGTGAGATGGTAAGTGTATGTGAGGAGAGGAGGGGGTGAAAAAGTGACCTAGATAAGGGTATCTTGGTCATTTAGAATTTTAAGACTTTAAGACTTTTGCTAAATTTGCTTAATAAGATAGTATAGATATTAATTTTAATTTATATACATACATACATTTATATATATAATATCATTAAAAGAAAACAATAACATTAAAATTTAAAAGAGTTTTATCTACTTTACTCAACAACTCAAATAAATCTCACGAAAAAGTCTAGTTTATTTGTTTAAAATCGTGATTTTAGTTGTATGATGTTTGAATTTCTATTTAGTTTTACATTGTAATCTATTACATTGTTTGTAATTGATTCGATTATGTTTGAGATATTTAAACTTACATCTTTAAAAAAAATTGTAATTTATTTTTAATTGTGAAAATTAGCATATTGTAATTTTTTCAGATCGGTTTCGGGTTCGTTTATAACCAACGGTGAAAAATAGGATTTTTGCCTTAATGGGTTCCCCAACGAGGATCGGGGAAACCGTGGGGACCCGATGGGGATCCCCGATAAGATCCCGACGAGGATCGGGACGGTTTTAGCTATCGGTTTCAAGGACGGGGATACCAATACCCGGCCCGAACCCGATCCGTTGCCATTCCTATTAATAGCCCCATGAATAGAATAACCGTCATTTATTTTGAGCACAAGCTTAATAGCCTCATGAATAGAATAACCGTCGTTTATTTCATCCCTAACTGTATGCAACGTAATCCAATGGAGTTGATAACATCTACAATGTGCGATAAAAGAGGTCACTCAGTTAATCCTGATGACAATATTCTAAAATTTCACGACAATGATGATGAATTGATGTGTAGCAAGTTCTTATCAATGATTATTATTATGTTTATTTTTGGAACTGATATATATACTAGAAAGGTACTCGCACAATACAGCGAGATACATCTTTATTTTAGTATTTCGTTTTATTTTTTTTCTATGTTGATATAATATGGTTTATATGGTTTTGAGAAATATAATGTTTTACTTTTGAATAAAAATAAATTTGAAGATATTATAAAAAAATTGAAAAAATATATTGATATTAATATTAAATTAACTATTTAAAAGTTCTCGTCTTTTGTACAATTTCTTTAATTCAAAATTTTATTATAATTTAATTTAGGTTTAATATCGAAGTAATTTATTTTTGGCTTAACAATATAATTTTTATAAAGATAACGATTCTGTTAGAATTCAATGATTTTTCTAATTATATTTTAGATTTTTTATATTTAAAATGAGATGTTTGTCCTGTATTTGATTATGTTTATCCACAGTTAGTTATATGAATTAAAAAAAATGAAGTTTTAATAAGTTGTACTTATGCACAATTACTTGTAATCTTAAATTTTAAGTAATATGCATTAATAAATAGTACTCCATGCATAAACAATGATTTTTAAGAGTTTTTGTCAAATGCTTTATAAGATAGTATAGATAAAAGTTATAACTCTTGAATGTTTCATATTGTTTGTTTGGATGTATCACTAAATCCTTAAATATCAATTAGCTTGTAGATTTTTATATTATAGATTAACTATTTAAAATGTAATTGTTGCTATTCATGATGAATATAACATATTTTTCGAATGTCATGGTATGGAAAAGTGTAGATACCAATATGGCAATTTCATCTCTCATTCATGATAAATTCTATAGATACATATACATCGTACTATTTCATGATCCATGCATTTCATCCTTAACATGATATTCATCATGAATATGTTAATATGAGCATGTTGTTTATCATGAACATTATATTTATAATATTGTATACATCAATACGTTCATTCATGATGAAAAATATATTGAATATATAATTGTTGAAAGAATGTACGAATCACTAGAGAAGGTTATTGAGATGTACACCAAGTGGGAGCTAAAATCATGTTTTGATATTAGACGTTCAAGAAAAATAATGTGTATATTGCAGTGATATTAAATTACCTCTTATATAGTAAATCGCATATATTGAAACCGTTTATTGCATAGAGAAATACTGTGTTGATCCCAAAGGAGTTCAACTAGTATAAACAGTTTGTAGAAAAGGAGATGAATACAGATGCACAATTTTCACTTTTAAATTCTTTATTGATTAAAGAAGAACCAATATGGAATTTACATATTGTTGCAGAATTAGATAAGAAAAAGTCGTAACTTGAACAATCTTGAGAATCATTAAGCTTTTCTTGCAGGAAGAAACTAAGAACAAGAGAGAAGAGAGTCTTGAAGATATAGGACTTGAAGGTGTGAGTCTGTATCTAAGAAAAAGGCTCTTCTCAGCTATATATACCTACTACATTAAATGCATTTTAGAGAGTACAATCCACATGTCATGGGTGGAATGCTTGTCCTTGTTCTTCAGATACGACAGGTTTTTGGCTGTATATGGACAGTTGCTTCAGGTAGTTGGTGAGCATGTATGGAGATAGAAAAGAAAATCGTACTGTACCATTGTCTGGTCGAAGCAAGGGGTGTGTATTTTTGTGGAAGACAGTAAGACAAAACAATCTTGAAGTGCAGGGACTTGATCTATCTATAGGGATGAGTCCTTAAGGACTCCTTCCACTATCACTGAGTTTTGGTCAGATTCAACACTTGATGTAGATGGTCATGGTATTAGTTTAGATCATGAGTACACCATCTTTGTATTCAACTTTATCTTTAATATCGTTGATTATTCTTTGATGTAAGTTTGTATTGGAAGAAATAACTTAAGTTCTAACCTGTTACAATGCACGTTTAGCGATTACTAAACAAATTCAAATACATTTGATTGCTGAAATCAAAAGTTGAAGAATAGAACTAAGTAACTTTCACTAAGTAAAGGGATCACCATCAAATCACGAGAGTTTAGATCAACATATTGATAGCATTGAATATGGACTAAGTGTTGAAAGTCTAAAAGCCACTGAACCTATCTTATGAAAAAGGACAATGCAGCTGGAATGATGATTTTCTAAGAACCAGCCTTTGAGTGAATGTTTGGAAGACCTTAGAAGCCTATGTATCTAATCTACCTATACATATAAAAACAAACTCCTATTGATTGGGAAATGCTCAAAGGTTCAAATGATAGGCTAGAGGGATGGGCTCATTCGACTAATAAGTGAAGCCAACTAGCGAAGGGTAAGGCTTTTAGTTGATAAGGGAGAGCTAGAGGTGGTATCCTGAGATTGAAGAGATCGAATATCTCCAAATGTCATGTTGGGCCGACCTTGGTTTTAGCTACTGATGACGGGGCAGCATCCGAGATTCTCCAACGTCTAAGTGCTAAACCCTCTTAATCAGCAATAGAAGCTTCTATTGCCTTCAATACTTGTACACAGTTGCAATTCTTCAAACTCCACATGGAAGATCTTCCTAACAAACATTCTCGCTAAATTTTATCTATAAATAAGTAGTTTCTGTCTTTTGTTAAGTAACCCTTTTTGAGTAATCTGTATGTGCAACTTTTGCATTGTACTTTAATTCTTTGATCATGTAATCTATCTTTTCTCTCTAGATTTTTTAATCTCTTGTATCTCGTCATCTGTAATCGAAGACTTCTGACAAATAGAAATCATTGAATCCCAATTTGTTTGTTGATTAATGTTCTACATATTGAATACTTTAGCTCTTAAGCTTCCACATGCAATTTTTTTATCTGCCATTTGACTACTGGAATCAACAATTGGTATCAGAGTAAATTGATTTCTTAAAATAAATTACAGTTTCAATCAATGGCGAACAATTCAAATCTAACTTCTCTTTTCAACATTGGATCTACTACCAAACCTCCAAGTCTTATGTGTGATGAATATTCTCAATGGAAGATTCCTATGATCAATTTTCTAAACGGAATCAAATAGAAAATTGTATCAATCAATCAGTACTGGCTCGCATATTCCTTATGTTGATACTCTGCAGTTCCTGCAAGTGAGACCACTCCAACTGTTTCTGCTACTGGAGCACTTAAAACTCTAGAGCAGTAAAGTGTTGATGATAAAAAGTAGATCAATATGGATGAAAAAGTCAAAACTCTACTTGTACGACTATACTTAGCAAGATCTTCACATTTGTTGATAGTTGCAATTCTGTGAAGGGGATGTGGGATAAGCTATCTAGTCAATTGGAAGGAAGGTTAAAAACCAACAAGAATCTAGTTTCTAGAGTATTATTGAGTATAAGTCCTTCAAAGCTAAACTAGGTGAATCCTTATCTGCTTCATATGACAGATTTATCCTATTGATCAACGATATAAAGAAATATCATATTCACAAGTCAAATTAGGAAAAGAACATCAAATTTATGAAGAATCTGAATCCTTAATAGAAGTCTCTGTCAATCATTATGCAAGCATCTCAGGACTTGGAGAATATGATTATTCATTATCTATTTGGTACTTTATCCTCACAAGAAGAAGCTCTCTCTGAAGAATCATAAAAATATGGTACTCCTCTTGATCTTGTATTTAACAATGAATAGAAATGATCATCATGGCAAAGCAAATCTCATAAAACCCAATAAAAAAAGGACTATAGTTTGATTGTATCTAGCGGATCTGAACCTAAAGATTTATGAAATCGTTCACAAAAAACACTAGCTTTATTATCCAAACATTTTTCCAAGTTTGTGGGAAAACCTAAGGACACAACACAATGCAAAAGAGATTTTAGAATTGAAATATCAAAGAATCGGTACATTAAAAGAGATTGTAAGTTTTTACATGTCCAAGACACGTGTCACACAATAATACTGCTAAGGAGTAAGTAAACCTATATGGTCATACACAAAGAATACATATTCTTCAATATCATTATTGGATATTCGGAAACCCGAACAATATCATGTTGATTATTAATTGTTATTCTAGCAAAATAATTAAACAATGAGTTAAAAGTGTAATTATGATAATTAAAGGGTTTTATGTGTAAATGTATTTACATATTATTTTATTATGATTGATAAAATTAAATAAAACCTTTATTTAGGCTTAATGGGCTTTAGTAATGGGAACAACTCCATTTTACGAGTGAGAATACCCTTATCACATGTGATAATACGCGTAAGGGGACCCTGTGATGTGCGGACGACGTGTTCTATGACTTAGGGCACGCCAAAGGTTGTCTGCGTTTATGATTTAGCATCACATGTGATGGTCTTGATGGATTATAGTATCATATTAACAACACTCTTATCACATATGATAATACTTGTGAGGGGGCTTAGTGGTGTAAGGGAGACTTGGCCCGCAACCAAGATCGCATTGAAAATCACATGCGTATCTAATTTAGTATCACATGTGATGGTATAATAGTATAACATGTGATTGTCTATAGTAAAAGAGTGTTATCACGTTCTCGTAAAATGAAGGTATTTTCGTTTGCACCCTTCCCTATATATATATATGAGGCTTCTCATTGTCGTAAGTTATCATTTCACATGAGTTTTTACATCCAAAACTAGAATTTAATATATTTATTAACATAAATTTGTTTCAAAATTCATGATATCCTTGTTCCCTATCCTAATTCTCGAGAATATAAACAGTAAAATTTGTTTTATATGTATTCGTTTCACAACGTGAAACTTTTCAGTTGTGATTTTTGTTTCATAAACACATAAAAAATGTTCACATAATGAAACAAATCTATGTAAGACAAACGCACTATAAAATAAATATGTGTTAATCAGTGCACTAAATCTAACTCCGTAGATGAAAAAAAAATTCATGTGAAATAGCATATTATGTACCGGTTCTCATGGTTATCACAATATTATGGGTTCTCAAATAAATGTCTCCCTATATATATAAACGAATGATCGTGTGAGAAGAAGAGTTAATGTGAGAAAATAAGAAGAGATCTGAATCCTTGATCACTTTTAATCTCACCGGGCCATGAATTGCAATTCTCATGGGAATTTATCCGGTGCATCTCATCTCCGTGCATCTCAAGGGTGAAGTGCATCCAATGGTGGAGATCCGTTTTTACCCTTCTCAACAACTTTCATTCTCACTGAAACTGAACCCTATATATGAGTGGTTAATTTTACAACCTATTTTATTTAAACAATCAATACAACCTCATCCTAGCCATCAATTAGTTTATCTATATTTGATAAGGTGGAAAAGGTAGATTACAAATCCTAAATTAAAAAAAACTGAAAAATAAAATGAACAGATCTAGTATAGATCAGGATTGTATTTGTTGTACAAATAAGATAGGTTGTACTTGAGACGTGTTATATATATATATACACAAACACACACACATACACACACACACACACATATATATATATATATATACATATATACAGTGGCGGATGCAGAAAAATATATTGTAGGGGGCATGATATAAAATAAAATAATAATTTACTTCAATTTCATACAAAAAATGATAAAAAGTTACTTCTTACAACTGTGTCCTACGATTCTTCATCTTTTGAAATTGAGTAATTACATCATCATTCGAAACTGTGAGAAGTGCTTCTTTTTCTATAATACATATCCTTGCAGCATTCAAAAATTCATCACCGATTTTGTTGCGCAAATCTGACTTCACAATCTTCATAGCAGAAAAACATCTTTCGACTGTTGCAGTAGCAACTGGCAAAACCAAAGCCAACTTCAATAACCGATATACTAGAGGATAAGTTTTATGTTTTTTTGTTTCCACTAGCAGTCTAGCGAGCTCGGCAGTACCACTCAAATTGGCAAATCTTTCATCTTGACGCATAATCAAATAGTACATGTTAAGTTGTTTCTCAAAAGCGATCCTATCCATATGACTAAAATTTTGAGGATACAACTCATTCAACTTCAATAAATCTGATAAATTGAACTACAAAAATGAATCACATGAACTCAAAGCTGTTATATTTTTAAGCAATTCAGTACTTACCTCACTATATCGATCCCCAAACTCTTGAATTTGCATGTCCACAACAGTGTTGAAAATATCTAACTTGTAATAATGACAATTGGTGATGTCGGTCATTTGTCTTCTTTTTTTGAATAACGGTCTTCCATATCCAAAGCCTTAATACCATTTGCTTCACAAAAATAATACATTTTCTTCAATAGTGGATCAAAACCAGTTTCTCTAAATTGTTGCAATAGTTATTTGGTTCATCTTATCAATGAAACCGCTTCCAAAATATCTTGATCCTTTTTTTGAAGAGCCTGTGACAACATGTCTGTGACCTCTAAAATATGAAACATCAAATGCAAATAAATCACAAAATCAAATGTCTTCAATATGCTAAAATACCAGTTGCTTGAGTGCGACTAAAACCATTATCCCCGTCATCTTCAACATACCAGAGCACTTCAACAACATTCGGAAACAAAGCAATCAAGCTCAAAATGGTTTTGTAATGAGAACCCCACTGTGTATCTCCAGCTCGTATAAGAGAAAGCTCTTGGTATTTCCCTGTTCCAATATCAATTTCACATTTACCAATTGCTTCTTGCACTCTATCTTTATAACTTTGTCGAAGCATGTCTTTACGCTTGCAAGAAGCATTCACCACATTGATCACCATTCCTAACATATTAAAAAAGTTCTCAACTCCATCATGTTTATTGGCAACCGCTATAACAACTAATTGAAGTTGGTGAGCAAAACAATGGATATAATATGCCGAGCTATTTTCATTCAAGATCAAGGCCTTTAATCCATTGAACTCACCGCGCATATTGCTTGCTCCGTCATAACCTTGCCCTCTTACCTGTTTCAAACTCAATCCATGTTCAACAAATAAAGTATCAATGGTAGATTTAAGAATTGAAGAAGATGTCCCTATCACATGAACAATACTAAAAAAATCTCTCATTAACAATACCACATGCATCAACATATCGTAAAACAACCGCCATTTGTTCCCTCTTAGAAACGTCACTAGACTCATCAACTAGCAATCAGAACACATCATCACCAACTTCTTTACGAATGGATTTGAGTATTTGATTTGCAAAACAAGCAACAATATCTTTTTGAATATTTGGAGACACCATTTGATTATTCTTTGTAGCATTTTTTCATATAACTTTACCTACATCCTCATTGCAATCACCAATTAAGGCTAATGTTTCCAAGAACATGCCTTTAGAAATAGACATTTCAGATTTATCGTGACCACGAAAGGGCAATGCATTCTTCAACAAGAATCTACAGGCCTTAATTGAAACATTTAATCATATTTGGTGCTCATTCTTCTCCTTCTCAGTTTGCTTATGAAAGGCAACGTCAATAGATCAATCTTGGCTCATTAGATCCTCACTTTTCTTAAGTGCTCTATTGTGAAAACTATTAATGTCGCCGACATGAAGACCAAGTCTTTACGTTTTATTCCAACTATTAAAACCATCTGTTACAAAAGCCTACAAAATTAACCTAATATTTGACATTTCCATTTGATTTGCCTACAAAATTAACCTAACATAAAACATTTACCAAATCACCAATAAGCAAACAACAAAATCAAAGAAGTAATTAAAATTAAAGACTGGAATTTGGAAATTAGAATTTTTACCCAAATTATTAGAGTTGCTTTGCTTCAGTCCAGTGACTCCAGTCCACTTTCCAGTCTAGGAAAGCCGGAAGGAAGAACCGAAGAAGCATGCAACAATGAAGATTGATGAAGAAGAAGAAGTGGATTGATTCGTGAAGAAGATCGATGATCGATGAGCTGTTCAGTGGCGTGATTCGTGAATTGTCATCTGTCTCTTGTCTGTCGTTCGCGTGAAGGGCGAAGGCTGAAGCGAGCGGTGAAGGGCAGGAAGGGTCAAGGCGTTAATAGGGGGGCCTTTTACATCATCATGTTGGGGGCCCAATTGTACTAAATTAAAAATTACAAATAATTTTTTTTTGGGCTTTGTAAAATATTTTTTGTTGGGGGTCCAGGACCCCAACCAGTCCTTAATGCATCCGCCCCTGCATATATATATATATATATATATATATATATATAGAGAGAGAGAGAGAGAGAGAGAGAGAGCTTGGTTCAAATACTAACCAATATTTTTGTGTTAACTTTGTTAACTAATCTTGGCCATTGATTCTTATAATAAAGGGTTGTGATTAATCATGATTAAAAATTAAATTTTTAAATTTACAATTTCAAAGAACATATGTGAACAAAGGGGAAAAATGTATTTAGGTAATTTTTTTTATGTAACTCCCATATCATTAATTGGGAGTTACAAAATCAAAAAATCTCATTATTTTTATTAATTTATTTTTGTTAATGTAAGAACCATAAGAACATACACACATGAATCATTGTGTCAAATACGAAAATTGACGTACATATGAACTTAGACTGTATAACATTTATAAACACAATATGAATATAATAAGAATAGTTGTTACACGAAAGTAAATAAATAAAAAAACAGGTATGAACACAATATGAACAGTTTGTGAACAATAATTCCTTCATTATGAATACATTTAGGAGCAAGCCAATGTTGAGATATGCAGATAATGTACATATGAACACAATATGAACAGTTTGTGAATAATAGTTCTTTCTTTATGAACACATTCAGGAGCAAGCCAATGTTGAGATATGCAGCTAGTGTAGATATGAACACAATATGAACAGTTTGTGAATAATAGTTCCTTAATTATGAACACATTCAGAAGCAATCCAATGTTGAGATATACAGCTAGTGTATATATGAACACAATATGAACACTTGTGAACAGTTCTTTAACAATTACATATGAATTCGAATTCCGATTGTAGTCGTAGACGATTTTAACCTTTTCATTCTCATTGTTGTTGATCTGTTTTCCAATAGGTTTATCCATATTACTCGGGCGATATCGAAATATTTAAAATCGGAAATTCTTTAACAATTACAAAATCAATATCATTATGGATAGAATAAATCGAAATTACAAAACATAAACACGTATAAGAAAATATCAATATTACATAATTATCAATTATTGAGATTTTTATATTTGTAATTCCCAATTAATGATTTGGGAGTTACATAAATGACAAATTACTTAATTACCCTTGTTATTAATATATGAGTTATATGTGAACCTAAAGAAAAGATGGAATATGATTGGTTGAACTTGGTTAACAAAGTTAACACAAAAATCTTGGTTAGTATTTGAACCAACCCCTATATATATATATATACACACACATGGGATCGTGTAGGAAATTTTATTGGTGAGAACCTTAAGACCCCCTTGGTTACCCTTGGATGAAACCCGTCCCCCTATCGGACAGTCCTAAAGAAAGACGCGATAGCACAATCATAATAAGTTGAAATTTCGATAGCAATGGGTGGACATGAAGATTAACATACCTTAACCTTCCTGTAATACATTAACATACTGAAAACAGTCTATTTTGAACATAAGTTGACACAGAATTATTCGACTTTAAGCGTATCAGAACAAACATGAACATAAGTTAACATAACCCACAACTTTAACATGTCTTAACATGAAAACCTTAATACATGTCTTCACATATAAAACAATGAACATTAACACCCTTACTTGAAAAACAATAACATTAACATACAATACAAATCTTAACATGAAAAACAGTGAATATTAACTACCTTAATTGAAGCTAATACATAGGCGGACCTACATAGGTGCCATGGGTGGCACGTGCCACCGTATCGTTTCTTCGCCGAAGGGTAAAAAATTTAGGTTTTGTGAACGGTGCAACCGTATTAATTTGTTGTGTGCCACCGTATGTATTTTGAAACTACAATGAGAACAAGTTTTATTTGGTAGCGTTGGTTTGCAAGGCTTTTATTCTACCCCACACCCAAGTCCGAATCATGTTAGTGTCATTTTCTTAGTCAAATGGTGCCACCGTTTGAAAAAAATTTCCTATATTTTTTTCTTATGGTCAAATGGTACCACCGTTTAAATAAAATTCTAAGTCCGTCCCTGAGCTAATATATATTAACATACGTTTACCCATAAAATGTTAGCACCTAAAAACCCATCCCTACCAATGCAGATGCTCATGGCTGAATGACCGATCTGCCCTCGCTCCTTGCGAAAATCCAACGTCAACACATATCTGTTGTGATGGTGCAAAGATGGACTCTTTTCTATGGTCAAAAGTGATTGTATCTCGATCTGTATATTAAAATGACGAAAGTGTACATGTGGGAGAATGAGAAAGGATTGAAGAGATGTTTGTATATTAATTCTGGGTGGTGCCTGTTTGGTTTGAGTTTGGCTCCAAACATCAAAAGTACCAGAAGGTCCAGGTTCAAATCCAAGAAGAAATAAAAATCCCCTTGTGGCCACGGAGGTTTAAATGCGATGAGTCCGGGCTATCTGCAAAACAATGGTCGTACTGTGGTTAGTCGGCTCGAATAGCGTTAGTTGGCTCGCATAACGAGTTGGATATCCAGATTAATAAAAAAAACTCTGCTAATTAACACAACCATGCATCATGACATGCATATATCTTTACATTTATATTTATAATCATCGTCGTTATCATTTATATCCATCATGATTGCCATCTTCTGTGTCATCTCCTAATTGATTTTCAATCTTATCCATCCATTCTACTACTTTATTAATGTGAGTAAAGTTCAGGCCTTGGCCAGAAAGTTGATACAGAAAAAGGGAGATTTTTGGATATATATATATAATCGGTAATTAATCTGATTAATGTTTTCATCTTTATGATATATATATATAGATACAAGAACACTTCATTTTAAGAAAACACGTGAACATCTCTTATCACATGTGATAATAAGGTTTAGTATCACATGTGATGGATTATAGTATTACATCAACAATACCATTTATCACATTTGATAATACACCTAATGGTGTACTAGGTCGTGGCTAAGGTCGTCTGTATCTTTGATTTTGTATCACATGTGTTTCATATGTGATAAAATATAGTATTACATGTGATTGACTATAGTAAAAAAGATGTTCTTATGCTTTGACAAAAATGATGCGTTCTCGTTTGAATCTTATAAATCTGACTAGATAACCACCGACCCAAATTTGATCATGAGTTCATGCAGCACCGCAGCATTGATATTGAAATGTTGGCTTCCGAAACAGTCGTACATATTCCAACTAACTTCTGTTCCCAATTTAATCCTGCCATCTTTCTGTGTGGGGGAATAAAACCTTCGAACAGTGGCCGACATCGAGTATCAAGGGGCAATTGTGATCTATTAACATCCTAAAACAAGAAAAGATACCAAGGCTAGTGGGAAATATGATGATGAGGTTTGCATATTAAAAACCCTTTCTTGTTTGCTTGCTGGTCCCAAGCCTACCTCTATTCATCTTTTCACTTCTTTTCTCCACTGATGAATAGTACAACCCTACCTCCATCTTCCTACTTTCATGCTTATGTTATAATACTCCTTTGACTAAACCCATTAATCCATTCTATTATTCGTGTTCTGATTCTGATTCTGATTCTGATTCCATACTTTCATTCTACGTGTCAGTGAGGGTGTTCTATGGAAAACCACAAACACATGACAAAGCATGTGCTTCTTTTGATACCCTTTTTTTGCTTTTCTTTTTAATCTTCATCCCTCTCATATCTCATCATTACATGCAAGAATCAGATAGAATGTTTCTGGTTATTGTGTCATCACCTGCATATAAACATGTAATTCAGAAGGTGAAGAAAAAGATAAGGAGTTCGTGTATCAGCAAAATATTGTTGGTGCCAGTACCATTATTGTTTCTTGGAGCTACTTTGGATGCTGATGGCTAAACTACTTTGCAGCTTTTTGGATCATGCTTGATTGCATCAAACCAACCAACCAACATCCTTTAACATATTCAGGTGAAGGGCATATCTCACTCAATTTTTTTCAAAAAGGAAAGTATCTGTCAACGAATCAATTTTCCATCAAGTGACAGGATTAATATACCAAGTTGACAATTCTTAGTGATCATAAACTGTTATTGCTCATGATCATAAACTTTTCATGTATTTATATATGTCGAAGTTAAGAATTTAAGAACCTAAAGGAGCTCCATCCATACATGCCAACAGCACAAGGACAAAAGGAAAGAACAGTATAATTCCTTCATGGGGATCAGTTGAGTGGTTTCTTTATGAACTTGGAAGGTTGTATAACCATTTACAGTTATGCTACTTTGTTCTATTCAAGAATAAGGGATCAAGTTATGATATGGGAATCAACTTGATGTACTATTGTCTTCATGTTCAAGGAGTTGTGATCAGAGTGAATGTGGGGTGCCATTCCATACGTGGAAAACTACTTTCTTACTGTTCCATTGGGTGCTTACACTGTAGTTCTTCAGCTATCATTTTTATAAGCATGCAAACACCACTAGACAAAGTCTTCAAGTTGTTTCCAAGCAGTATGTGCTAAGGTATCTCTCTCTCCCCCCCATCTTCCTAACCTCCTCTTTTTACCATATTTCTTGAATCAACTGAATGTCACTTCTCTTCTTTCATTCCTATGTAAAAACATATGTAAATCATATGGTGAACTTTATCTTGCCATTACTTTATTAGTTTTCGGTTCCAGTTTAGATTCCAAATGAATAAAAAGAAATGTGATGATGGAACTATTCATTGAGAAACAGTTTTGTTCGAAATCAGTTATTCCATCATGGTCGCATGTTAGCCTTTACGGTATCTCATTACCACCTTTGCGAGAAGCAAGTCCTACCACTAATTCATGGCACCAAGTATGCAGAGTCATTTCCATCCACTCATTACTAGCTTAATAACTTGTACGCCCATTTAGTCATCATCGAGTTCAATTATTGGAGCATGAGCGAAAAAACACTATTCTGAGATAACTAAAAAGTTAGGATGAGGAAGTATTATTCCTCTATCTCCATCTAGTTCACTCCTCTCATTTTAAGAGAGATTTACTTCCACAAAAAAAATGACAGGTAGGGCTTATAATACACGGAAACAGTGGCATGACTATGGTGCTGGCCAAGACAGTGACTTTGGCAAAAGGTAATGGAGTTCCTATTACAATCTATGCCTAATAGTGAATCCATTTCTAGGCTCTATGTAGCTACCACCATCGTTCCTTTTTTCTCCTCGAATCTCTTTGTCCTCTCAATCTCGTATATGTGTTTTGTTGTTAAACGCCAAGCTTTATATTTTTTATGCTTTTAATCATGAAATGCAACACACATACTTCTGTTATCAATTTCTGAAACCATATGAGAAGCAAACATTCAACAGGTTTTGTCAAGAGTAACAAAAGGAAAATAAGGTCAATGAAAAGGTTTGTAAAAGGATTCTGACATTTGAAATTGCAGAAACTATCTGATGAAGCAGATGCTATCTAGATCAACCTAGAGAAGAGAAAGAACAAGATATAAAAGATGAAGTTCATGAGACTTGGGACAAGGCCAGACACCTTCTATACAGGCGAAGCCACGAGGTACATAGCACAATTGTTTTGCTGGATAAATACCTTTTCAAGTAACTTGATAAATTACAGGATGATGATTTCCGACTTGCCAAGTGACCTCACCATACGCATCAATAACATCACCTATCTTCTCCATAAGGCAAGTGATGCTTGACAGAAAGCTAAAATCTGTAATACATTCATACTTGTATTATCTTTTTGATAACAAAATCACATAGACCATTGTGATCATATACCTAGTTGCAGTTTCCACTTCTTCCAAAATGTGGCCTACTACAACTACTTTGCTCAGGTAGGGGACATGCCGGAAGTGTTACCCTGGATCTTCATGATATCCCGGGTGGTGAAGATGCTTTTGAGCTGTGTGCCAAGTTCTGCTATGGGATCAAAATTGATCTCAGTGCCCATAACTTTGTACCAGCAATATGTGCTGCCATGTTCCTACGGATGATAGAAACTGTTGGGGATGGAAACTTTGTCTCAAAATTGGAGGTTTTCTTTAATTCGTGCATTCTTGAAGGATGGAAAGATTCAATTGTAGCATTGCAGACTACAGAAAGGTTTCCTGAATGGTCTGAGAGTCTTGGGATTATCAGAAGGTGCATAGATTCAGTAGTTGATAAAATACTCACACCCCCACCAAAGGTAATCAAAACATTCATCTTCATGGGGATCCATTAGCCCTTTTTCGATGCTATAAGCCTATACAATAGTCAGAAAGAGAGTGAGAGAGAGCCCAGATGAGACTCGCTTCCAAGTGGGTCTGCTCTCTTCTTTATCTAAATCAAGAATGCAAGAGTTAAAATAGAACTGCAAAATTTCAAGGTTTAAACTTTGAACTAAAAAAAAGGGCCTTTGCAGGTTAGATGGTCCTACACTTATACCAGACCAGGATATGCACAAAAGAAGCACCACAAGTCCGCCCCTAAAGATTGGTGGACAGAGGACATAGCAGACCTGAATGTAGACCTATTCAGATGCGTAGTTAATACTGTGAGGTCAACAAACATGCTGCTACCACAGCTGGTTGGTGAAGCTTTGCATGTTTATGCATGTCGTTGGCTTCCGGATTTTACAAGGGGTAGGCCTGATCCTGAAACCTCAACAGCTTCTCAGTTGACCCAAGAAAAATTAGTGAACGGAAAAAAACAACTTGAGATGATTGTAATCCTAATTCCAGAAGATAGAGGATCAGTTTCAGTTGGATTCTTGCTGAGACTCCTTAGCATGGCAAATCTTTTAAGAGTTTCTCCAGCAATAAATATGCAACTTATTAAGAAGTGTAGCTTGCAATTAGAGGAGGCAACACTAAACGATTTGATGTTACCTTCACATGACTCTTGTGCTGATCACCACATTTATGATATTGAACTGGTTGGATCTGTCTTGGAGGGTTTTATCACTCAATGGAGAAAATCATATTCTAGAGATGAATATTTACTTAGAAAGGTTGGAGAAATCATCGACTCTTATCTCCAAGTCGTTTCTATGGATGCAAACATGCCAGTACAGAAAGTAGTGTCTCTTGCTAATGTTTTACCTGAATTTGCTCGGCCTGAACATGACATTCTTTACAAGACAATCGACATTTATCTAAATGTAAGTTATATAAGAAGAAAAAACAACTTTCAGAACCTCTTGATACATAAATACATACATATTTTTTTCAATATTTACTGTGGCAATAAATGATGATCATGAGCAGGAACATCCCCAAATGAGCAAGGAAGAGAAGAAGCATCTATGTAGCATTTTGGACTGCCACAAGTTGTCTGCAGAGGCTTGTGCCCATGCCGTGAAAAATGAGAAGCTTCCTTTGAGAATCGTTGTGCAAGTTCTCTTCTTTGAACATGAGAAACATGGTAGAAAGTCAACAAGAAGCCATGAAAAACAACAGCCTGAAATACAACCTCAGGGCATAGAACAAACGGAAACTACAGTGTGTAGCCTGGAAAGATCACAACTTTTCTCGGGTGAACGATCCAGTAAACAAGAGGATGCTAAACGTAGAAGTGCTCCTAGTAGCACACTCCAAAAGCTTGAGCCAGAATCAGAACAAAAATCAAGGTGGAAAAAGGTTGGGGAAATGGGTTCAGATGATGGTGATGAAAGGGGGATTATGGAAGAACGAAGTATACAGGATCTTACGAAAATCAGGATGCGAAGAAGTAAATCAGAGCATGGTCGTCGTAAAGGCAAGTAGAACAAGGACATTTGTGTTTTTATCAAGCTAGAGAACTATCTGCATAATGGCAAGCATTTTAAAGCATATAAACCAACGTTGTTCGATTGTATTGGTGCAGAGTTTAAATAGGGAAACTTTGACAACGGAATTCAGTATGAACATTGTTGTTATCGATTTGAGCACAATTTAGTTCACATTTTAATTCCAGTGTTGAAGTTTTAGTGTCAAACTGAAAGTTAGCCCTTTGAAGATCAAATCAAAACACATGAGTTCCTGTATGTTAGTCTCCATTGTATTACTTTGACGTGAGTCTCAAGTAACACTTTCACTAGGGATGTTTAAGAATCTTATTCTTGGGTTATGATTATGTTCATCTATCAACACAAAAAACAAATGACATAAAATGAAAGGCCAATGCCTTTTATTAGTCATAATTCAACACTTACAATCATCTACTGCTTGGATTTTGGGTATATCACTAACAATCTCCCACTTGCACTAATGAAAGACAATCTTCCATGTATCTAATAACAATGAAAATACTATGATCGTTGTTCTACCGGTTCAGAGGTTTTGTCAATAGATTAGCAACATTACTGTCTGTTGGAATTTTTGCATATTATAGCGTTTCCTCTTTCGATGATGTCCTTAATAAGGTGATATCGTGGGAGTGTGTTTGGATCACTGGTGGGATCAAGGTTCCTTAGATTATGTTATTGCGTCGTTTATTGTCACAATACACCTCACACTACCTCAAAATGTCACTTAGGCAACAAATGCAAAATGTTGCCTAAGAGGAGTTTATATTTTGCGTAAGACTTAGGCAACAAACCCGTGTTGCCTAAGCAGTGTTGCCTTCTCAATGTTGTATAAGAACCAAGGCAACATATGCAAACATAATATGTTGCCTAAGCGGGCTTCTTAGGCAACACACAAAAGGTTATGTTGCCTTAGTGAAAAACATATGTTGTCTTAGATATCA